CTTCCGCTGCCCCGACTGTGGGAAGGGATTCAGGCACAAGTCCCATCTTGTCATGCACCAACAAATCCATACTGGGGAGAGGCCCCATAAGTGTGAGGAATGTGGGAAGAGCTTCAGCCGGAGCTCCAGCGTGATCCGGCACCAGGTAATCCACACTGGGGAGAGGCCCTATGAGTGTGGGCAATGTGTGAAGCGCTTCAGCTTGAGATCCCAGCTGATGAGGCACCAGGTGGTTCACACTGGGGAGAGGCCCTATGAGTGTGAGGAATCTGGGAAGAGCTTCAGCTGGCGTTCCACCCTGATCAGGCACCAGAGGACCCACACTGGGGAAAGGCCCTACGAGTGTGAGGAGTGTGAGAAGAGCTTTAGCTTGAGGTCCGAGCTGATCCGGCATCAGAGGACTCACACTGGGGAACGGCCCTATGAGTGTGATCAATGCAGGAAGAGATTTAAGTCCAGCTCTGATCTCCTCCAGCACCAGCGCACGCACACAGAGGAGAGGCCCTTCCGCTGCCCCGACTGCGGGCAGGGCTTCAGGCACAACTCCCATCTTGTCATGCACCGACAAATCCATACTGGGGAGAGGCCCCACGAGTGTGAGGAATGTGGGAAGAGCTTCAGTCGGAGCTCAACCCTGATCAGGCACCAGAGGACCCACACTGGGGAACGGCCCTACGAGTGTGGGGAGTGTGGGAAGAGGTTCAGACAGAGCGCCAACCTGATTCAGCACCGGAACATCCACACTGGAAAACGGTCACACAGGTGTGGGAAATGTGGGAAGGGCTTCAGGCAGCATTCCTACTTGATCCGCCACCAAAAGATCCACACTGGGGAGAGGCCCTACGAGTGTGATAAATGCAGGAAGAGGTTTAAGACCAGCTCCTGTCTCCTCCGGCACTATCGCATTCACAGAGAGGAGAGGCCCTTCCAATGCCCCGACTGTGGGAAGGGATTCAAGCACAACTGCACCCTCGTCACCCACCGACGCATTCACACTGGGGAGAGGCCCTACGAGTGTGAGGAGTGTGGGAAGAGCTTCTCACAGCGCTCTCACTTGAACAAGCACCAGCGGAGCCACCAGTAAGGGAGGCCCTGCGAGTGCCCCGAGTGCGGGAGGAGGAGCTTCGTGTGCTGCTCCAGCTCCATCCCCCACTGGAGGAGGCGCTTTGGGCACAGCCCTGGTCACTCATCTATGGCTTCTCCTTTCCGTTTGTCCTGAATTTTCTTCTGCTTCATCTTCATCTCTTAAGAGCAGCCAAACAGTGTTAAATGAATGAAATTGATCAAAGATGTCCAAAGTCCCTCCATTAATCAGGACTTTGAGGGGGAATTTAGGACTTGGGGACACATTCTGTGTGGAGTGCCTCTGTGTCTAAGAGGCAGGAATTTGATTTCACCCTTCTTGTGTTGCTAAGAACTCTTCCCTTGACCCAAACCCCAACTCCAGCCCTGGGATACCCTATAAAAACCCCATGGCTCTGCCTTTGCCCTGTCTGTCAGGGGTCAGAAATGGATTCTGGAGCTTTCTCAAACCAAGACCCAACTTGTTTGTTCCTGACATCAGCAGCTGCAGCCTCCCTGGATACCATGAACTCTGGAGAATGGGGGCAGCCAGTGAGGACAGGTCCTGGATTGCAAGATAAGTGTGTGTTCTGTTTGCCATCTGTCAGAGGTGGGGCAGTTATCTTCTGTTCATTGGGCAGTTTATCTCTTCCACAACCAATCCTCCCTCCAGGAGATATCTTCTGATAATGGACTGACCATTAATTATTAATTATCTGCTGTTAATGGGCCATTGAGTGTCCCTGCATGGCTGATAAAATGACATCCTGCCATTAGGTGATGCTCCGCCCAGGAGGAGGAGCCAAGCATTCCTACCTGGATAGAATCTGAGGTTTGGAATTCCACAGCAGCCTTTTCCCACTGGATTCCCAGAGGATCAGCCTTTTCCCACTGCATTCCCAGAGGAGCAGCTGTCTTCTCCACTGGATTCCCAGAGGACGGAAGATTCCCCGGCCCATCTGCAGCAGCCCGGACCTTCAGAGGAAAACTCCACCCTTCTCCAGGATCCCTGCCCCAACAGAACCACACCTGGCACTGCAGGAGGGCTGCAGCCACCATTCACTGGGACTGCTGCCAACAGCCTGACCCACAGGGTGTCAGGTAGTGTTCTGACTCTGTCAGTGGTTTTGTTTGTTTGTACTACAGCATTTGTATTTTTAATTTTTCCTTATAAAACCTGTTATTCCTATTCCCATATCTTTGCTTGAGAGCCCCTTAATTTCAAAATTACAGCAATTCAGAGGGAGGGAGTTTACATTTTCCATTCCAGGGGAGGAACCTGCCTTCCTTAGCTGACACCTGTCTTTTCAAACCAAGACAATAACAGTTACTTTAACACACAGATATAAAATACATTTTAATATCTTTGAAAAGCCAATATTATAATATATGTGTATAACGATAGTGACCTTAAAAACATGGGGGTAGAAAGCTTACGAGGAGGGGAATTTCCAGTAAGGGAAGCAAAATTCCCAGTACTGGGACTGGGCCATGGGACCGACATCTACCATCATTCAGCGAGAGGTTTATTTTTATGGATACGTATTATAATATTGGCTTTTCACAGATATTAAAATAGATTTTATATGTGTGATGTTAAAGTAACTGTGTTGTAAAGATATAGTTTTGTTTTCTGTCATTAATTAAGCTTAGTGAAATAGCTGCTTGTGTTAAACTGCCTGCTTGGATGGGATAACATCCAATGCACACAGGATGAGGACACCTGTACAGATCTGCCAACTATCAGCACTCCCCGTCTCAAGGCAGAATGGACCAAGGCCCAAAAACTGGAGGTGATAAGAATGGACTAAAACCACAACCAAGGAATCTGCATGCCCTAAAAAGGCAGATCCAAGGAAGAGCCGTGCTAAACCGTTCTTGAAGCATGTAAACTAGTTTGGGGGTAAAGTTTGCTGTGCATGAGGGTCTATGAATATGCAACAGGCTGATGTAAGGGGAAAGGTATTTCAGGGGGATCCCCAGTGCCAAGATGCACCCGGCCGTGATAACCTTTGCTCCATGGTCCTGGTCTCCCATTGTCCTTTATTAAACTTTTTACATTTTCACAAGAGAGTGAACGTGTTTTTCACATTTAGGAATGGTTTAAGTTTTTTTGTTTTTCATGGGAGGGAGTTTTGAAGAGCTACAAGTGGCTAATCTGCCTGCAACAAGGACCATTCCACGGGCTCTTGTCACCTTTCCTGACATGTCTGCTGCAGCTCATGGAGGGTAAAGCCCTGGAGGCTCCTTAGGGGCGGTTATGGACGATTGCAGGCAGTGCCTTGATGCCCTGGATCAGCAGTGCCCCCTCCTGGGAACCCCCGCATTTTGGGGGAGAATTTGGAGGGTTTTGAGGAGATTTGAGGGAGATTTTGTCTGGGTTTGAATCCTACGCCAAATTTGGTGTCCGGGAGGTACCAAAACCACCCAAAATCCACCCAGAATTGACCCAAAATTACCAAAAATTAACCCAAAATTTCCTCCAAATCCATCCTCTGGGGGTTTGGGGGAGATTTGGAGGGATTTTAGGGGAATTTTAGGGGAGAATTTTTAGTGGTTTTGAATCCTATGCCCATTTCGGCATGCATGAGGTACCCAACCCCCCCCCAAAAGCCACCCAAAATTTTTCCTGAGGTGGTTGGGAGGAAGTTTGAGGGAGTTTGAGTGAATTTGGGGGTTCCAGGGGAGATTTTATGGGGGTTTTTGGCAGTCATCATCATCCAAAACACAACACCCCATGCCAAAGCCTAGACCAAACCCTAAGGACTGTGCCCCCCATGGAGAGGAGATCAAAGAACTGCACCCCTTCTGGGGAGGAGATCAAAAGCCAGAGGAGACTGAGCTATTAACTCATTAAGTAAAAACGTATTCATTTAATCAAGTATCATCATTTCTGTTACTTTATCCTTTGTGATTAAGTCTCGAATGCTTTTCTATTCCTTGTTAATTTAGCTGAATAATATTCATTTTGGTTTTGTAAACTATTAAGTCATATTCCTGATCTTATATATGTGGTCCCATATGTCTAATAAACCACAAACTTACAATTTAGCAGCAGTTTTAATTGAGATAAAATGATACGATCAAATAGCATCCAGTAGTTACAAAAAGAAATTTGGCAGTGGTTTGGATAAAGCATAAGCAAAACCCATCGATCAGGGTATGGGGAGGGCTTCCCACCCTGCCTCACGTGCAAAAGGCAAAAGGATCCCAACACAACTTATATACTGTGTGCTAATACATATTCATCAATATTTTCCTGTAAATCTCCTCCTATTTCCGATTCTTGAAATCTACATCACCACAGCACACACAGCGCATGCTTCCGCTGTGGCTAAGGGGGCTTATGGCTCTTTGGTGCTCTTCTTGGAGGAAGGCCAGCAGTCTTCCTCGCTGTCCTCTGAGTAACCTGGCAGGTTGTGCACGTGCCCCAAGTCCTGTGTTATGTAAGTAAGCACTGTGTTCAAAGTAAGCCTTATTATTTTATAGATAAGAGCACTATTTTAGACTCCCTGTCTGGAATTGTCCCAACTTTATTCATGTCACAGCCGATCCTGTCCTGGGAGTTGTCTTAACTTTGTCTTGATGCCAATTCTGACTTGGGAGTCTTCCTAACTTTTGTTCATCAAGGCCAATTCCAATCTCCTGTATACTTTTTCCCACATGTATCATCTACAAAGAAGCCCATTTGCTTCATATTAATCACATTTACATTTCCAATTATTTTCCAAAAATATTGATATAATTACAATTTTCTTAGCATGAACGACATTCATTTATCACAGAAGGCCAAAAGCTTGGAAAAGGATGAAAGAAACGCTCCGATGATGACAATGACAAAACAACCCAATTTATTTTTGACAGCAAATGAACGCCGCCCGCCCTCCAGCCCTCCCAGCCTGGCAGGCCAAGTGGGGCCATTCCCATGGCATGAGGCGCTAGCAGCCTGCGGAGAGAAACCAGAGAGCCACGGTCAGTCGCAGCAGGCTCCTGTCCCCCTGTCCCGCCATGGCTGTGCCCAGGCCAGGCTGCTGGCTGTGCTCAGAGCCCAAACCTCCCGAACCATTCTCTGTTTTTAGAGAAGGGCAGCGGGGCAGGCCACATTCCACCTCCTCTGCTTAATCACGGCACAGCAACCTCCTCAGCAGCTGCAGGAGCGGCATGCCCGCGTGCCCGCTGCCGCCTGCCCAGAGCCCTTCTGCCAGCCGAGCTGTGGATCCGGATGCCCACCTCTGGAGAGCTGCTGCCAGGAGAGGAGCCGATCCCGCACCAGGTCCTCGTCCTTCTGGAAGGGGCTGTCCCTGCAGACCGTGGCCCCTGGGGTAGCACTGGCACTGGACGCGCTCCACGGATGCTGCAGGCGCTTCCCCGTCCGGTCCGGGCACCAGGTGTAATCCTCCTGGGAAAAACAAAGAACAATTGCATGAATGCCAATTCAAAACAAGACCTGGAAAAAAGAAAAAGCACAAAGCCTGCCACTGTTTCATGGGCCTGTGGAGAGTCTGACCACTCCATGGGAGAATTAAACCTGTCCACGGGTGGGGAAAATCCTCACCTTTCCTGCCCATAAACGCAGCCCTTCCTCAAGGGCCTGCAGAGCAGGCCAGCTGGGGCACAGCTTTGGAACCCGTCCCCCTCTGCCGCCCCCCATCCACATGGATGGATGCTTTTGTCAGGCTGGCTGTCCCCACCTCAGCCCGTGCCAGGCTGGCTGGCAGAAGCTGTCAGCAAGGCCAGGAGCCAGCTCCCCTTCCACAAAAAGCAGCTCGGCGGCCGGCGGAACAATTAATATTCCCCAGCGCTGCCGAGCGGGGAACCTCCGGCACGTGGCCAGGCCGAGCCCTGCCGTGCCTGGAAGCACCAGCATCCCCCCACCCCTGCGCCGGCTGGGGACTCATCTTAATTCCATCGGGGTGCAGAGCGTGTCCTCCAGGCAGGGGCCACAGCCAAAGCCAATCAGCCCTGCCCTGCCAGCGGCCAGCTCCAGGATGGTGTTCCCAGCTCCACGTCGTGCTCCAGAAGAACACGCCAGCTGTGCCTCGGCTTGCGGGGACATCACGATGCCATTGAGCTGCAGGGGGATGTTTCCCCTGTCCCAGTCCGTGGCACCTTCACTGCACTGCCACCACTTCTCCAGTGGGATGGGCAGCATGGATCCGCTCCCTCCACAGCTCACGGGGACCAGCGGAAGCATCTCCTTGGCTGCGCTCTCTCCTCAGCGCTGCGGCCACAGGGAAATGCTCTGCGGTTTTCTTCCAGCGCCACGAGACGCGTGCCGCTGCTACATGCTGGCTCCTGGATCCTACTGTGCACAGAGATGCATCTCTGCTGTCTCCTGGGCCAGGCAGGGCTCCTGCAGCCAAGAATGCTCAAAAAGGTCCTGCAGTGATGGCCTGTCTGTGGGGTCCATGCATAAACATCACCTGATGAGGTGCTGGCACTCTGCGGAGAGAAACCAGAAACCGCCGCTCAGTGGGACAAGGCTCCTGTCCATGCTCTCCCACATTCCACAATGCCCAGGCCACCAGGAGTGCTCAGAGCTACAGCCAAAAGCTTCCTATTGATCCTCTCTTGCAGAGGACACCAGCACAGAGGCGCAGGTGCCACCTACTTCAGCTGAGCCCAGGAGATCCACCTCCTCACCAGCTGCAAGAGTAGGATGCTTATGTGCCAGCTGCCTCTCACAACCCCGTTCTTCCCCTCATGCCTTGAAGGTGCATCCCCACCTTGAGACACCTGTGGTGGGAAGAAGAGCTGGACCCTGATGATGTCCTCATTGGTGTGGAATGGAAGGTGCCTGCAGACCAGCTCATAGAGCAGGATGCCCAGGGACCAGATGGTGGCTGGCTGGCCATGGTAGCAGCCAAAGAGGATCCACTCTGGTGGGCTGTACTCCGGTGTTCCTATGGGACATGGGCGCAGCTCATCAGGCCCATGCTGCTCCCTCCCCCCCAGCCAGCTCCCGTTCCACAACAGCCAGCCACTGCCCTGCCAAAAAGCAACTTGGCTACAGCTGGCTGAAGAAGGATTCCCCCTCCTTCCCTCCCTCCTTCCTTCCCTCCCTCTTCCCCCTCTGCCAGCCAAGGGGGGAACTTTGCTGCCCTGCTGGGCCCCGGCTTTGGGCTCACCTGACATCTGGGTGTAGAACGTGTCCTGGAGGATCGTGCTGCAGCCAAAGTCAATGAGCTTTGCCTCACCTGTGGCCAGGTGGACGAGGGCGTTCTCGGCCTTGATGTGGCCGAGCAGGACACCGTGGCTGCTGCGGCACCGCACGGCCTCCAGCACCTGGCGGAGCAGCCCCCGCGCCACGGGCTCCGTCAGGAACCGCCGCTCGTGCAGGAAGTACCAGAGGTGCTGACAGCGCTGCGGATGCTCCATGAGCAGCGCGAAGCCCTCGGGCACCTCGAACCAGTCCAGGAGCCGCACGACGCCGCTGAAGCCAGGCCACGACACCTTCCACAGCAGCGCCGGCTCCAGGAGCACAAGGGCGCCCTTGCGCTGCGGGGGGACCGCAATGCCGTCAGCGGGGCCAATGCTGTGCTGCGCCTCGGGCAGCCCCTGCCCAGCCCCGCCGCGGCTCGCCATGACCTGGCCCGGGGCGCTGCGCGGCCCCCGCTCACTCCACGCTTGCGCTTGCTGCCCTCGCTGCCGCCCTGCCGGGCCTTGCCCGGCACGCCCCGCCGGCTCCTCCCGCTGGCCCCGCTCACTCACCAGCCGCGCCCACTCCAAGATGCGCTCCTGGGACACTCGCTTGATGGCCACCTGCGAGCCAAGGCCAGCGGTGGACTTAAGATCACGCTTGGTTAAGAGTGTATAAGCCGGAGAACACGCAAATAAAAAAGACTTCTTTCTTCTCGTACCCTGATCACGTGTGTATTTCACGTCTGGCCTCATGGCGACAGTTGCCCCATCTCTGGGTCAAGAAACAAGTATTGTCTGACAGGTAACTTGTCAACAAACTGAGAAAGAAATTAGTACCTGGGCATGCAGATTTCTGAAGGGAGGAAAGAAAAGTGTTGACAACAATAAGCCTGAGTTTTAAATGCCTGAAACATTCAAAAATGACATGTTTTGGGATATTGTACCAGATGTTAGAAACAGTTCAAAGAAACCACAACGCATTAGTATCTGGACTTCAGTGCCAACTATGCTTTGAAATGTTGGTAAAGGCACTTTGTGTCAAAGATCCAGTTCCTGTTGGTCACTGTGGATGTAGATCAAAATCATACCAAAAAATCCATGTCCAAACCAGCAAGAATGAGACTTTTGTCCTTGGCAGTAGTTTCCAGGTGCTCCTGGAAATCACTAGGCCTAGACACAAAGATGTGTATTCAACGGAGGGAGAGAAGCACCGTGCTTAGCTCTAACTGTGACCTTTGCTAGCAGATCTTACTAGCAGGTAATAAATTCCATTTGTTCTGCTCTTAGCCAGAGCCAAGATGGGAATCACAGTTTAGATCACAGGAGAAGATCACAGGAGCCTCAGTTTTTCCAGAAGAGGAGAAATACAAAGGATAGTAAATTTGGGTTGGGTTTTCAGGGTGTTTTTACAAATCCATAGACAAGTGATGAAGCTTAAAAGATGACAGCAAAGGAAAATCAACAGATATGCTGAAAGTGAGTGAAGAGGAAGGAGACTTTAAATTCACTGAAAAGCTGCACAGAAAGCTTCTCTACTTTTTGCAGTTGCTTCAAGTTTGAAATGACAAAGTCTTGTAGCACTTCCAACTTATCTTTATTAATTCTAGATTAAAGACAATCAAAACTGTGTGCTCCTGCTTACAGTATGAAGGAAAGCACAGGAAGCCATTAGAGTAAGAACAATTGTGTTTAGAAGGCTGAGGCAGCCTTAGGGGTAGGAGGAATGGGGAGGCGTGGAAATCAGGCCTGTGGGCACCATTCGAGGAGCATCCAGGCCCTGAGCAGTCCCTCACAGTGGGTATCCCAGCAGATGGAGTCCAAATGCAGCCACAGCTGGGTGGGAAAAGTGCCGGGCTGTTGAGCCGTGGTTAGCAGGGGCTCCTGCATCAAATTGCTCCCTGACAGGTGTGGTATGCTGTGTGTGTGTGTGCCCAACAGCTGGCAACAGCAGGCTGGCCCAGATGTGGGAAAAGGCCAAGGAGGCAGCAGAGTGGGAATGGGGCTCTGCAAGAGGCCCTGGTGGTTGCACACACCCGTGGGGGATGAGGCTGGCCCAGATGGGCCCTGGGGCTCTGGGCTGAAAAGGGGGGAAAAGAGAAGCAGGGAGGAAGGGCCAGATGCTGCTATGACAATGCCATTCTATCCCATAGGTGACATAGTGAGAGGAGGGTGGGAACCAAATGGTGATTGCTGCTGATGACTGTGACATCTCCAAGACAAGAGGCCCAGCAAGGACTGCACATCTGCCTCCTAGTGTTGTCCTGAATGTGAGCTCATCTCCTGGTGTTCATTACCCGCAAGTCTCTCAGCTTCCCACGGGCATTCCACACTTCAGGTAAGCAAAGCTGCTTACCTCACTATGTTCTTTAGGCCTCTGAAAGGGACTGTCCCCTTAGCTACAGCCTGGCAAGGAAGGGAGTCTTACAACACTCTGGATATTTTAGACTTTTATTGGCACTCAGGCTGAAACAAAGCATCCCCTCACTACTTCTGCATTTTCATCCTTCTGTCCTGCAGGTGGCCTGTTCAGGCTGACAGATTGGAGCACCTGCAAGCTCCAGTTGGGCTGCAGCCCAGCTTTTCCTCTCACAGCTTAATTCTTATTATGACAATTCTTTCATTTCTACTTATAAGATACCTCAGAGCTTCCCTAAATTAACAACACTCTACTCTAAGCTAAACAATCCTCTATTATCTAAGCTATCTATGTTCCAAATGTTGGGATTCATAAAATTTGAGGGTTTTGAGAAAGTGGTAAAAAAGACAGGCCTCAGACAGCAGATTTGTGAACATTGCTAATACAGCAAAAAGTTTTGTAAGCAGTAGAGCAGACATGAGAAATAGAACAATAAGCCCCTGTGATTTGCCCTTATAGGTTGCAACAAGTTTATTTAATGTATATCTTTAGAAGGTTAGTATGAATGAGCCTCTGTGCTTTGTCTCTCATAAACGAGCCATGCTTTGTCTCTCATAAACGAGCCATTGTGTTAGAAAATAAGTCCTTATTTTGTTAACTACTGTTACGTGTGTTTCATATGACTGGATAGAATTATTGTCAATATGTTTTGCTTTATGTGTGATTGGCTGAAACTTAGGCTGAGAGGGTTTTATGCTACCCTGTAATGTGATGTTTCCTTGGCATTCCATTTGAATCAGCAAGCTGTAAACATATCCTGTCTCCATTGTCCTAACAATGTACTGAGACTGATGTTTGAAATAAACAGCTCACGACACTGATTCAGAGTGTCCCGTTCCGTTTGTGACTGTATATAGCGTGCCAACGCCACCATAGTCCTTAGAAGTTGATCCCTATATTTCCTAATTTTTTTAAACTTTCATCTTTTTGAGAAAGAAAAAACAACAGAGTTTTAAATGGAACCTAACACACCTAACCTAACCTAACCTAACCTAACCTAACCTAACCTAACACACACGTAATCTAACCTAACCTAAACTAATCAAACCTAACCTAAGACCTAAACTGAGCAAATATGAAAACTGTCACATTTCCTATCTAGGGCACAGCTCCTCTTAATACTTGGGCGACGGCTGAAGCTCTGCCTCAAGATGACACATCCCCTTTTCCCTCCTCTCAGCTGGCGGGGCATAAGGGTCTCCTCAGGTGCAGGTGTCTCCTCTCCAGTCTACCTGCACTTGCTTGGCTGAAATGATCAGAGCAGCCAGGCTGGAGGCAGGATGGCCTGAGGTCACAAAGGGATGCTGCCCAGAGGATAAAGAACAAAGAAAGGAACTCTTACTTTCCAGGATCCCATCCTCATGGGCTCAAGCAGGATTCCCTGGCTACCAGGAAGACACACCAAGAGCACCAAGGGCAGTGTGTCCCCCTGCGCCTTCCTGTCCTGGGAGCTGTCTGCGCCATGTGGCCCACACTCCTCCTCATCCCTTCATGCAGGTGTCCTCAGCTGACAGGGCTTTTTGCCCCTTTGCTTTTTCTTACCTGCAGGAGTTCCTGGGCAGAGCAGCGCCTGTCCTCGTCTGCCTGCAGGCAGCAGTGGAGGAAGTCGTGCAGGAGAGCCGAGTGGTGCCTGGGCTTCTGCAGTTTTGGGGGCCCATTCCTTTCTATCAGTTCAAAAACCTACAGCACAAAGATGCAAGAGGACACTGCACCTCCTCCTTTGCAAGCCACATCAGCTCTCTCCATGATAGTGGAGCTCTGGGAAAAGTTAAAGATAGAATCTAAAATGTTAATCTTTGTGCTTTTCCCAGATCAACTGCACCTGCGTAAGCAGTATGATAAATTACATAATTGTTAGATGTGATGATTGTTTAGTAATTAAATATAATTACTATATAACCAGAAGAAGAATAATTAGAAAATATGTTGGAAATTCAGAGAGGGGCTAAATTTATGTATACAATAGAACAATATAAGTTTAATAATTAACATGAAAGTTATATAAAGATAGAGTATAAAAACATGATCATTTCCAATGTATGGTCAGAATCAAATTTGGGTAATACCCTGATTCCCAGAGCTCTTTAATAAAAAGCACTGCATATAATCGCTCCGTGATTATGTGTTTTTGAACGGTAACATTTTGGCGACTCAGATGGAACCGTTGTGAGTGGTGCTGAGCAAGTTCGCGACTTGATCACGCTCCAGCCGGCACTGAGGGATTCTTGGGGAGCCCATTGGCCGCGACCGCTCCTGCCGCTCACAACGTCCCCGGGAGAAAGGTAAGGTGCTTTTTATACTTTGGTTTGGTTTTGGATGCCTGCCAAATAAGATGCAGCAAAAGCTACACTTGGTTGGGCTAAAGGAATTCTTGTTGGTACAAGCCTAGGCGCCGTTCCATAAGACAATCACAAAAGCATTGCGGGTTTGGCATTTGTGGTGTATTTGAAATGGAGAAATTTAAAGGGATTTTGGGCAGTAACACCCCTATCCCGCAAACTTCTCTTTTGGGGTGCTTATTAGCACATTGGAAACAGGGTAACTTTGGGGAAGAATTACGTAAAACTAAGTTGATTGATTACTGTAATTCATGGTGGCCAGAATATGCCTTGGAGAATGGTGAAAAATGGCTAAAATACAGTACTCTGCAATATAACACTATTTTGCAGTTAATGTCATTTTGTAAACAAGAAGGAAAATGGGATGAAGCCCCGTTTGTTGATCTGGTTTTCTATTTAGAGGGAAAGCCAGAATGGCAGGATGAATGTGGATTATTAGTGGTTAAAACATCTGCAAAGTGTGGGGTTTGTGAGGAACGTTGTTTAGAACACTTGGCATTAAAAGAAAGCTTGAGTAGGGAAAATTATACAGATGTTGAATTACAAGTAGGTCCAATAGGAGCTAAGAAAGCTACAAGAGAACCTAACCCTATCCCACCTGTTTCACCTGTTTCACCTGTCCCTATCCCACTACCTGCTCCTCACCCACCTAGTCCTGAGCCTGTCTTGTCTAGTACACCTTTCCCTCTTTATCTTCCTCTCCCATCATCACCCGGTCCCTCTTCCTCGGAAGATGAGCAAAACCTAACTGTGATAGAAAGGAGAAAGAGGTATGCGAGTGAAAAAGATAGCAATGGTAATGAATCAGTGACCCCAATTGCCCACAGAACCCGGAGTCGGTCAAAGCTTGCCCCAGTTGTGCATAGAAAAGGCATAAGCAAACAAAAACGGACTGTGATTGCCCCCTTACGACAAAGTGTCGGAATGGAAGGGCCAGTATTTGTAAAAGTGCCTTTCTCCCCTGCAGACTTAGTTATTTGGAAACAGTCAGCCGGAAC